GTGTATATCTCCACCACAATGAATGTTTTTGAAAAAAGGAACTGTCCTAAATATATGACGCTGGGCGTTAACCGGTTAATTTAGTACCTAACAAATAATTTCACTCCTAAATGTAACACGAAATTCGCTACATATTAAGCGCATTCATCAAGCATGAAGAAGAATCACGTGGATGCCAGATAAATACTGCGCTCTTTACGGAAGAATTAAAAAGAAACACTGAAAATATTGTTTCAAAACTATATGGTAAGTGCAATTTTTAAAATCCAAAAAAATACAGATTATCCACCAAGTTCCATTGGCAGATATTAGGGATCAAAAACCGTAGTCAACTCATCAAATATGGAGGCATATGCTCGTGAAATTATTTTAAAATTTTTGCTTAAAGTACTAGTCAATAAAGAAACATTTTTCATTAGACAGAAAGAAAAATGTTATTAAATAAAATTTTATAACGACTATTTAGCCGAAACAAATTTCCCAATTTTTTGATGAAACCTTTTTAATTCTGATGTCTCAATATTGAAAGAAATTTTTACATTTGAATATTACATAGTATATTCTCTTATTGCGTAAAGATGATTTCAGTCTACTAAGATAAGTAATGTTTTAACTTAATACGCAATTCATACAACTTACTAAAAGATTCTCCAGCCTTTGCATAAAGATGGCTCTTAGACTAATAAGATTAGTCTATTGGATATTCTGTAATAGATTTGCTTTTAACTCTGGTTTGTATGTCGACTATTAACAGTAGATATGATTATTTTATATCATTTTCAAATGGCAGGGAAGATAAGCCTACTTGTTTTAGCAAGATAACTCTGAAACTCAAAATGCAATTTCTCTATAAATCACTGTCGTTTTAGATTGGCAATGTAAAATCTAGACCCATTGTTCCATTAAAAGCATCTCAGATAAGTGATAATAAATACAATAATACTCATGACACGTTAACTAACAAAAATAGTCTAACCAAACAATTATTGTTTGAATATTTAACTGTAAAAAAAATTAACTTCTGCATAATTTTTCCAAACAAATATGTTTAAAATTTAGTTGCTGGATTACCAAATCACGTTAAATGCCTAAATTTTAATGGGGTTATTTTTTTTTAAATTTTTAAGAAAGTTTTAAAGATTTAAAAAATATTTTTAATTCGCGTGATCTTGAAGTGTTGGCAGTTTTTCATTACCAAATAACTTAAAAGTTACAAATTTCTGCCAGATATTAATTTTTAGACAACCAGTAATTTTTGTGATAACGTTTTTAGCAAAATGCATTTATGTCCTTTTTTTGAAATTTACTTAGATATTAACTTTAAAACTAAATTGTTTTCATTATCAACTATCACTCTAACTACCAAATTATTCTTTCCTCTTTATTTTTTTAAAATTAATGCCAAGGTCGTGTAGTTTCAGAAATGACTTTACCTCAAATGAAAACTCAGGATGATAGCCAGTTAAGCTAGTCCGTACCGTGTAAAAATACGACCTGAATCTCATCTATTAAAAAAAAGTTCAAAATATTACGAATATAGTGTCATCAATAGGGCCCGAATTTTGATGACATTTGCATTTTTATGCATTTTTTGCATTTTTGGACATTTTTTGTCTTTAGAGCATTTTTTTAGATTTATAAGGCATTTTTCTTTAAATTTTGGGGCGTATTCTGCATTTTAATGCATTTTTTAAAGTTTTTTGCTAATTTTTTCCAATTTTTACTATTTTGTATCAATTTTCATTATTACACTGGCTTCCAAACAATGAAGAAAATCTATAGAATATTAACAGGTGAAGCGAAATCTTTTCAAATTGAAGAAAAATTGTAAGTAAGTGAGACCGTCTTTTTCAAGTACGCACCTATAACATCAGTAAACGTTGAAGGAAGCTTCTGCAGGAATGAAAATTTACTTTCAGACAAGATACGCTCGCTTACATTTCAAATTTTCAAAAAACATTTAATAATCCAATGTAATTCTGATATTTAGTAATATTATGAGATGGAAGTTGTTATATCCATTAAAGTTTCTATACAAAATAAAAATATTTTGGTGTCGATATATTTTCCTTTTATTGCTATTTTAGGATATAAAATATATTTTTCAAACTTTAATGAACGTAGAACAAGTATTGCATTGCTTTATATTTTTTAAATGACTCATAATAATTTTAAAGACCGAAATATTTTTTAATTCAATATTTTTACTTTATTTAAGGCATTTTTTTGCATTTTTAAGGGCATTTTTTGCCCTTTTTAAGGGCATCAGTTGAGATTTTTTAGGTCATCAAAATCCGGGCTCTAGTCATCAACCTTCAGCTCTTTTTGGTAAAATGTCTTCTAGTGGTAGCTAAGTTGATGTTTAAACGAATTATTATGTGTCTAGTAAATTTGATTTAAGTTTTCCACACCACTCCATTTAATTATGATTTNTGAAATTTACTTAGATATTAACTTTAAAACTAAATTGTTTTCATTATCAACTATCACTCTAACTACCAAATTATTCTTTCCTCTTTATTTTTTTAAAATTAATGCCAAGGTCGTGTAGTTTCAGAAATGACTTTACCTCAAATGAAAACTCAGGATGATAGCCAGTTAAGCTAGTCCGTACCGTATAAAAATACGACCTGAATCTCATCTATTAAAAAAAAAGTTCAAAATATTGCGAATATAGTGTCATCAACCTTCAGCTCTTTTTGGGAAAATGTCTTCTAATTGTAACTAAGTTGATGTTTAAACGAATTATTGTGTGTTTAGTAAATTTGAATTAAGTTTTCTACACCACTCCATTTAATTATGATTTAAAATTTCGTATGAAAAGCCACTTTATACCTGCTCCTCGTGAGGCTTTTAAAATTTTGGCAAAATTACCAAAAATTTAGCAAGCTTTAGTTTTTAATTGCCTACCATTCTGTGAAAAAATTCGTCCAAATTGTAACATTTGGCAGCCATATAAGTAAAATCAATTATAAGCATTACCTACTAAACATTCGTTAAACAGTGTGTACACCTGCCACGTAAACGTTTGTGAACTTTATTTAAAATTCCATAATATTGGAGGATTTTTGACGTAATTAATTTTTAAGATAAAAATGTTAAGATAAATTCGAAATTGTTTAAAAGAAATTAGTTTTTAGAAAGAAGCAGTGCTTAACAAAACCCTGAAAGATTTTAATTTGAGTTTCTCGACAACGGTTTCTTCTAAAATGTAAATAAGATCTTCACAGAAACAACAGCAACGTTTCTGTACGCTTAAATTAGCATAATACCATTAATTTCCGTTTCGTAATACCATTTATTTACGTTAATATCATTTATTTACTTTCCATTACCTAAAAAAGTAAAGTTACCATAATCAAGCAATCAACAAATTAGTTGATAAATTTAACTATCAAGCTCAGCTCATAAATTCAAATATAAAAACCATAATATCAGGAATCAAGCTGTAAAAAAGTAAAGCAAATAAGAAATTAGTATAATGTCATTAATTTATTTTTCGATATTTTAGGAATCAAGTCAAATCAACAAATAAATTACTCGATGGAATATTTATTTTATTTTATAACCGGCGTTAAACAGCCGATCCTATTTTGAGTTTGTGACTATTCAACCCCAAAGCTTGAATTGAACTTGAATTGAGAAGGCTTGAATTGAGAAAACAAGTGAACCCTTTTATCAAGCTTTGGAACAAACTTACCTGCGTGGAGGACTTAGGTGAAACTAACCCGCATTTGCATTGCAAGGAGAGGAAAACCAAAAACACTGACCACGCTTAGCCAGACGGTACAAGGATTCTAAACCGTGATTCGTCTACCACTGTGGTCGGTGCAGGCCGGAAATAAAACTCAACTACCAGCCACCGCGAAGATTAGAACCTAGGCCACATCAAGTGAACATTCTATCTTCTGAATCACAGCGGCTCTAGCTGATAAAATGAGGGAAACAATTTTTTCTAAGTTTAATGAATCTCATGCCATTACGTGCATATTTCATAGTTTTTACAGTACCGCTCAAAAGTATCAGTACACCTAGAAACTTATAAAAAAATGGCAAAATTCAAAGTGTCATAACTTCTTTAAAAATGATCAAAAATGCTTCTGCTTTAGCTCATTTTGAAGCTTAAAATCTCTACTTTTATGTACTCTAATTGTTTTTAATTAATATATTTTGCAACTATGTACAATTACACTCTAAACAATCATAGAAAATTGTATTAATTTTTTGTGAAGTTTGACGCGATGTACGGGCACAAAGGGGTTAGATATTGTTAATTTTTATTATACCATTGAAAAATTTGGACTTTTAGCTTTCATTTAAAAAAAAAAATTCCAAAAAAACATGTTTTTTGACGAAGTTATTGTCAAATAAAAAAAAAGTTTTTTTTTCAGAATTTAATGATTTTTCAGCAATTATAATGAATTCCGCACAGGAACTATTTAGGTTCGTCCTCCTACCTTCGGTCTTCGATCCATTAACCAGCATAAATCATATGTGGAAAGTCCTTCAAGAGCAGTGGCGAAAAATAGACAAGATAACATTAAAAAAGCTGATTGATCGGATGCCTCGAGTGTGTGCTGCAGTTATAAAAGCGCGGGGAGGATATTTTGAAGAAAGCAAAATATGATGTAAAATATTTTTTCATTATTACATTTTTGTTTTCAAATTTTTTCTGAGAAAAATACGAAAAAATAAATTTCAAAATATTAAATTGTAAACGTTGATTCTTATTTCATTATTATATTTTCCAAAAAAAAAAGTTAAAATTGTTATAATAAATTATGAAATAATATTATCGAGAAATATTAAATTTTAATTTATTTTAAATAAAAAATTTTCATATCATATTATAATTACACTAAAATTCATTATAATTGCTGAAAAATCATTAAATTCTGAAAAAAAACCTTTTTTTTATGTGACTATAACTTCGTCAAAAAACATGTTTTTTTGGAATTTTTTTTTAAATGAAAGTTAAAAGTCCAAATTTTTCAATGGTATAATAAAAATTAACAATATCTGAACCCTTTGTGCCCGTACATCACGTCAAACTTCACAAAAAATTAATACAATTTTCTATGATTGTTTAGAGTGTAATTGTACATAGTTGCAAAATATATTAAAAACAATTAGAGTACATAAAAGTAGATATTTTAAGCTTCAAAATGAGCTAAAGCAGAAGCATTTTTGATCATTTTTAAAGAAGTTATGACACTTTGAATTTTGCCATTTTTTTTATAAGTTTCTAGGTGTACTGATACTTTTGAGCGGTACTGTAGTTCTACTACATTACGTGCAAGGGCGAAAAGCCTATGATTCCGCAATTTAACGAAGCAAATTAGGTAATCTGCTAGGTGATTTGCTGGTTGGGCTAGGTAATGTGCACATCAATTGCTTTCGAGCTATAACGGTAACTCATATTTGCCAACAATGATAATTCAAACAAGCATTCATTTCACTACCAATTCTCGGAAAGAATAAAAAGTGGCTAAGTATGGTATAAAAAGAGAAAAATTATTCGCTTCATTTTAAATGTAAATGAACTGCCACTTTTTAAATTCCACATTGTCTTATAGCTGCCAGTTATAAAGTTTGTTTATAGTATCATAATTTCTTTCCCCAGAGTTGGAGTTGGTCTTGATACGTGGATGGTCCCTCTCAAAGAAGAAACATCCCTCTTCCAAAAAGTTCAACAACCGATGTTGTTCATCAACATGGAGAAATTCCAAACGAAAGACAACCTCAGGTTTATGAAGATGATGGAGTCATCAGTTGCACAAAGAACAATAATCACACTCAAGTAAGATTTTAATTCAAAAATAAGAATTAAACAATTAAAAAATATTCAAATGAACATATCTAAAAAAAAAACACGTGGAAGTTGTTCTTCTAAAGCTCTGCAGTCGAAAGAAATTATGCTTTTATACAGAATAATATGCTATTTTCATAACTGATGTGAGCTTGCAACAGTTATACTCATGATTGTTAGGCCAAGTATAACCTATCTTGGTTAAGTTATCTATCTTAGGCCAAGTTTAACATATCTCTAACCACCTCGATGCTAATTCTGAAAATAGCGCAAAACGTCAAAATGGAGAAAAGCCACAGTTTTGAAGAAATAAAAAGGTTTTGTGGTCTAATTTTTATTATTTAACAACTTACTCCAATGTTTCGTTACCTGGACTGATAAAGATTTACAAAGAAATAGGATTAAGTCATTGACTTTGATAATTTACATCTTGGTGGGAAAATGGTGTCAAATTGGCGAATTTTTTTTTTTTTTTAAAGTTTAATAACTCCTAAAATATTTCAGTTATTTGTCCGTTCTATAACCCAGATAATTCATCACCACAAGATGACATGCTTAGTTTAAAATTATAGATTTGCTTTAAATGTAAGGCACTTAAACTGTGGCTTTTTTATTTTCCTTGGCAAAAATGCTTCGGAAAACAATGTTGAGGTGTAGAATGGGGGGCGTCTTAGTTTGGCTTTAGCGACAATTTTCTTTAGTTTTGCTGAAACCTTGATATTCGTTGCTGTCCTCGCTTTCAATGATGTCACCTTTGTTTACTGTTATGTGATTGGCTCTTGGTTTATTTTGATATATACTTATTTATTTTCGAATCACCAAATATGAGGCGGGCCCGCGATTGTGAAATATTACCAGACATTCAGTTGGCGTTTATCCTTTGGCGCAGATGGGAGATTGATGTCCCTTTTATAGATTTTTTTTCTGGTGCTCTAATTAAAAGTAAAAAGATATTTTTCTATTTTTTAATTGTAAAAAGCAGTTTAATAGTTACTAAAAAAATTCTGCTAGATTATCGGAATTATATTTGTACTAAAATATAAAATAAAATTCAAGTAGTTTAAATTTTTTTTTTTCATTTATGTTAAGAAATTTATCAATAATTGATTTTATTAATTTAAGATATTTCATTGATGAATAACTGTTTCTCTTAAATCTAAATAACTACAAAAAAAAACTATTGTTTGGAAGTAAGTCATGTTTGAAAGATTTAACCATTAACGCAGAAAAAGACACTGGTTTTTTATGTTGTATTATATTACCATAAGTTGTTAAAATGCTAAATATAATATTTTTCACTTATTGCAACCTGAATTAATACAAAATAATGAAAAATATGTTTAGTAAAATTTTTACATCAAAGGGTTAAAAAAGTTTCATGCTAAAGTCATAAATATGGTGGGACAGAAATAAACCATTCTCGCTGTTTTTTTAAATAAAGAAAAAAACATGGTTTTTTAATGTTTTTTTTTATATTTTATTTTCTATATTTTGGTTATGCGTATGCTAGCCGTAAAGCGATCAATGATCAAACTTTCGATTGTCGACAAATTCTGCTTGTAACTGTTAAAAACGATCGAAACATGCATAAAATACAAAATCATCTGATCTCAGTCAAAAAATGAGTAGCTACTGTTATGTTAGAGGACGCTATATACACGGGAGAAACTTTTCATTGCAAATTCTCTTATACTTCCTTTAATAATTTAAAATACAGAAAACGAGAATTCAGACGGGCCTTGAAAATTTTAAAAAACGGTTACGGAAATAAAAACGAATGTCGATGGTATTTTAATTTCTGTGTAACCACCACTGAAAATTGTTCACCAAAGAAAGTATATATATGCATGAAAATTCCATCTTCTAAGCCACTTAACGATTAAGTGGTATATTAAAATAGGAAATATATTCCAGCATTACTACCACTACAATTTCGAAATCATTCTATAGGATTGCAATATTTATATTAGAATGTGTTTTTATTTATAGTATTAATGAAAAAGGAAAGAAACAAACTTCTTTCGCTAACTTTCGGAAAATGCAAATTTTGAATGAGTTTCAAGCAAGATCTTTTAAATTGCGTTAATTGCTTTGCCATTTAAAATATTTCAAAACATTTGCTTCAAAACAAAGCTTGTTTAAATAGAGTTAGTATAGACGTGTTTTCATTTTTTTTTTTCAAATCTCTTTACCAAGTTGTTAAAAATGCCCAATATACTTTCTAAAATTAATTTGAAATTACATCTGCTAAAAATTTTAAGCAACACCATAAATTTTATACCGGCAACTTTTTAATTTTTCCCGGTAATGGGCAGGCTAGATCCATTATTCAAATTTTTAATTGGTGAAACATTCTACAGGTACCAGTTAAAAACGAATAAAACTTGCATTGTTATCTGCCCCAGAGCACTTCTTAAAATTTCAGAGATCTAGCTTGTCGGATATTTCAAGAGAAATGTTACTCCTTTATGAACTCAAAAGCAAGTTATGTAACGTGTGGTGAAATTTTGAGAGCAAATTTCCATCCTCACTCTTAGGAAAACAAGGTGAAAATTTAAGTCCGAAATTCCATCCTCACACACTCAGAAAACGAGTTAATTAACGCTTGGTGAAATTTTAAGTGCGAAATTCCATCCTCACACACTCAGAAAACGAGTTAAATAACGCTTGGTGAAATTTTAAGTGAGAAATTCAATCCTCGCACACTCAAAAATCGAGTTAATTAACGCTTGGTGAAATTTTAAATGAGAAATTCCATTCGCAAACATACGATAATGATTTAAATAACGCTTGGAGAAATTTTAAGGGAGAAACTTTCCCCTGACGAATTCGAAAACTTGTTGAGTAACAGGTGATAAAATTTTGAAAGCCAAATTTCACTCTTACCAAAAACTTTAAAAAGTATTAACGTTCGAAACAGAAAAGTTACGATATCATTGTGCCAACGAATCACCATTGGCGCGAAATTTTTTTCTGCAGCTCTCTATGAATTTCCTTAGAAGCATTTCTGCATTTTAACTAACAGATTCGTACCATAATTTGGCGTTCAATCGTTTTCTTATAGTGGACAAACTTTACAATACCATTTAAACAGATGTTACACTTTACCATCGAATCGACGCATATAGACTTCTCAGAAATTTAAAATTTGTTAAACTAAACAAGTTTTCCTTCGCATCTCTGCCAACGTTTGTTGGCAAAGATTTCGAATTGATAAAATAATATTAAAAAAAATAATATTTTAGTTAAAATCATTTTTTTTTTAACTTTTATGCTCCTTTGACAACTCTCAAATCAGCCTTATTAACACGTTGAATGCCACGTTAATTTTACATTGCAAAGGACTAAATTTGCAAATATTCGACAGATTTTGCTAGTTTCTTCAAATGCTATGAACTAACTAACTATTAAGATTTTTCGAAGTACCTAGCCCTAGGTGGGCTATCTGCTTCTTCATCGAGATGTAGGTTATTGGGAGTTGGGTAGAAATGTCCGAAGGAGGCTCATCGCTTCCTCATCTTGCATCAGGTCTTTTAGTTCCTTGATAAGAGAAACAAGTCGGTGGGCAGTTGTGGCTGGGGTCTTTTTTCTTGTGTGGCTTTTTCTCCAGGGGCGGGCCTCGCACCCTGAGAAATTGGATGTGTGGGCTTGACTGCAATTGCAACAAGTTGCGGGAGTGTCTTTACTTTTCCTGCACTGAAAGGAGTAGTGCCCTCCGGCACACTTCATGCACTTGGGTGGGTCAGAGCAGGATTGCTGAGTATGCCCGTAGGCCTGGCAACGGAAGCATTGGATCGGCCGACGGCCGCCGTGAAAAAGTTCGACGCTGACCGGGTGTCCTTTGATTTCCTCGGTGCGGTAGATCTTCAGATGATTTGCCAGCTGCGGGACGATGACGAGGAAAAGTGGGAGGAGCCGATAGGCCCCGCCCACCCTCTTCTTGAACTGTACTATTTTGTGTACTTCTATGTTAAGTTTCCCTAGTTCTAGAGAAATAACATCTGGGTTGAATTCCTTCGGGAGTCCACGGAAGAGTACTTTTAGGAACTTTGGTGAATTCACTGGATCTTTATTTGATGGCCCTAAAAAGGGCCTGGGAGGTGTAGCATCGGTGACGGCATCTTCGGTGGGTTCCATCGGGACGGGTGGGGCAGTCTCCGGTGGCGGTTGAGCTACTGAGGGAGTAGGGCTGGAAATAGGCTTAGTTGGGGTGGCTGCTTTCTTTTCTTTGGACCTTTTCTTGTTCTTCCTTCTCTTCCTCGGAGGCTCTATGGATGGACGTTCTGAGAGTGCAGTTTCTGATGCCGAGGCTTCCTCAACTGGCTCTGTATTCAAGTCGATGCCGGGGGCGGCAGCAGTCTCGGGTGTGGGGACTCTGGGCTCGGGCTCAGTTGCTGTCGATGATTCCACTTCTGGCGTATTTTCCTGGCGTATTTTCACGCCTCGCGCCGCAATGGCAGCGAGGGATAGCTGGTAGAAAGGGTCATAATCTTGGGCACGGGCGAAATCATTCAGTTGCATGTAGGCTTCGAACTGTTCGTCAGTAGAAAATTTCCCATAGAAAACTTTGAGGTAGCCGGGGTTGGCTATCTGATCTTTCGGCGGGAGGTATTTCGCGGGAATCCCGCAGGTCTCCAAGACTTGATCCAATGAGATGGATGCATCGTGGCCGGCGTGCTTGCGGGCGGTAGGTAAAACCTTGCCGCCGCGTCCTTTCTGGTTGTAAGGCATGATTGCTCAGAGCTAGACTGGTAAATGCTATGAAGTAAAAAAGTGAATTATATAAGCCTGCGAATTGTTTAGAAATAGTGGTGGATAAAAATCTACTAAATTGAATTTATTAAACCAAGAATCACAATCAATAAACCATTTCCAAAAACTTCAATGTTAATCTTTCAAATTGTGCTAGCAGTTACACCATGTAAAATCTTACAAAGCTTCTAAAAATATTGTTTACATAGAGTTACTACAGAACTATTTCCATTATTTTA